GGCCAACTTCATGATGTCGCTTTTTTGGGACATTATGCGCACACAGCTCGAAAATTTCACTCTCATCTAAATGCACCAAAACAATTATAACTTCAATAATAAGCTATCTTATTTCAATTGAATGTTCTTCAAAAATAACAAGACAAAAAATGCAACTTCCACTATCTTCAGAAAAATTCAAACAGTTATTATTTCTAAACTTATTGACTTACATAGCTAGTCTTTGAACTTATTTGAGATAATCGTCTGAGTAACATATGTACTAAATTTCATTAAGATCCGTTAATGACTATAAGCACAATCGCGGCAACATCTCTTAGGCTGACCCTTTTCATTTACCAATTATCAAGTTAGGATTAAAAACACAATTTTAATACCCTAAATTGATTAATTTTCTAAAAATTTTTAGTTGAATGTCAACATCCAAAAAAAGTTTCACTTGCATTGTGGTTTCATAAAACCACACAATAATTATTATTGGAATATCAACTCGCGTTAATCCAAAGAGCTTACAAAGACAAATAATATCCAGAAAACAATTATTCTCAACAAATTTTAATTATTTTCTGATTAATCAATTATAAAAAAAATATATTAACCTTAAAATAGCAATCAGTTTTCTTTAGGATTTTACAAGAAACTAAAAAAATACATTTTTAATGTAAAACATGTATCTTTGTCTTTGTAAATTGTAATTCGAAGAATTTATGGACCCATATATATAATAGTAATTGAGCGACAACTACTAAAAAATTCATGTAATTTATTTTTTTAACTTAATATATTAAGTTAAAAAAATTTGTATACAAATTTTTCAATAAAATTAAAAAATTATTGAAATAAAAAGCTTTGAGAACAACACTTTCGTGGTTGACTATTCTAATAATTATAAGAAATAAGCAATCAAGTAAATTGAAGTAGTCAATTTTGTATTTCAATTAATTTTATTTCATTGTTACAATTATTTTAAATGCACATTAATTTTCTTGAATTATATTAAATAAATACATAGCTTACATAATTAATAATTATTATTATTATATATGCAATAGTTTGTAACAAAACTGTCCCCGAAAATTTAATAAATTTTCACCGGAGGCGGAGATACCGGCTGGGTAAAATTTTTACGCTCGCCCTTTTTGAATAATAATAAAATGAACCTGAAACTCCTCCGGCTGGGTTAGTGCACGAAAAGGACGCCAGGTAATTTTATCTAAAAATTACCAAAATTAATAAAAATGCCAGGGGCCTCGCCGGACGATCAATTAACGAATTTATTCAAAGCGATATTACTTAAACTTATTCTATTTTCTAAACAACAGTTTAAATCCTTTATGGAATTCTTGATTAATATATACATAACTTTTTCTTTAGCTTAACTTATAATATTGCGTTCGAGAATAACAATAACCGCAATCAAAACAATAATTATAATAATCGTAACCAAAATCTGATAATATCGAAGACAAGTCGTTCGTGAAAAATAACAAAGATATAATAATAACTAATATCCGACAATGTCAATAATGAGTCACACTCGAGTGATCATAATTACAATACCAAATGATATTAATTATAAATAACGCAAAATAATCAGTATATTAATAATAATTAACAATCCGCAATGTTAACCGCAAATTGCGCTCAAAATAATAATTATAATAATTAACGCCTGATAAAATAATTGCAATAATGAACTATGACGTAATATCTTAATTAAAAATTGCTGGCCATATCGAGGACCCAACACGCGGCTTTCAGGACAGGTACAAATATTCCCAATAATAACCCTTACTCGCTACGGGATCGACCCGATTAATCGATAGTGAATTTAATTAAACAATAAAAATGAATTATTTAAGCCAGGAGACAGCGGTGTACGGATAACAAAATGGCTCAACTTGTGAGTACTCACCGAAAAAGGAAACTCAACCCAAGGCACCAAATCCACACTCCTTACAATAACGGAGGTCCCACGTGTCTTTCTCACACCAAGCGGGTCACCGCGTGTCTATTCAATCTACGTCACCGTAAAACGTTCGAGGCCTCGTGTTCGACCACGAGGGCCTCTTTAGCCATTTTTCCAAATTTAATAAACCTTTAGCTCGCGATCGATAATACAAGACTTCACCCGTGCGTGTAAAGGCTATGATAATAAAACCAGGTACTATAACTATGATTTACGGCGATACATACAAATAATAATAATGATAATAATGAATTACAAATAATTCGCATGTCAGCGCATGTCCGTTTCGCCGTTTCGATTACATATGTATAGACGCATAAAACGATTTTGTTGAAATAACAAAAGACGGGATAACTAACAAATTTGTTCGGGTAACAAATGAGTGTAGTTATAGCAACAAATCGATTAGTCGCATTAACAAAATGTTTCAATTTGAACTAACAAACCAATTTGTTAATTCACAAAATCAATTTGTTGTACTAAGACAATCATTTTGTTGCAATAATAAAACTAGTTTGTTGCCAAAATATTTTCCAAATCAGCGATCGCCGATTATAGCATATTTTTAAATTATGTATTCTCTTAATTACTTTAACAAATTGATTTTGTTACTCAAAAAATTGCTCTCTGTTATCTTAATAGCATAATTTTGTTGTTTCAACAAAAAATTTGTTATACCAACTAAATTATTTTGTCGAATCAACTTAAAGATTTTGCTATAGTAACGAAACTGTTTTGTTGTTATAACATATCAATAACTTTGTTATAACCTAAATTTTGTTATTTTAACTTATAATTTGTTATCCCTATGTTAACAAATTCATTTGTTACCACAACATATCTTAGGTTATCTTAATAAAATTTTTTTCTGCGTGTAGTATTAATAATTATAATAATAAATAATAATAGTAATGGATCTTTTAATTCAAGCCCATAGATGGACACTCCATCTTCCCTATGTGTCGAGAGTTTCGTCTCTCCTACTAAGTTCGATGGAAAATCCATCGAACTTGAATACTAGTAAAGCTGGAAGCTTGTAGTATCTGTTCGAGTTGTAAAGATGTTAATTAGATGAAACATAATGAAAGAAATTAAATGAGAGCAAAGACAAGGGTATATATAATAAATAAATTTACTACATATATTTATTATATACTAGATATATTTAATATATAAAAATTTACTATCAATTTATTAACAAATCGTCGGCAAACTTTACTACCAATTTTTACGGTCTATTTAACGCCACCTTCCGGCAGTACATTGATAGTAAGTTGCTGTTTTAAAAGCCGGAGATTAACGGTTGCAATCTGGGTTATAACCGGACAAAAAAACCGGCTCTCCATTTATTAGTATAGATATAATAAATAATAATTGTTTAATTGTACAATAAAGAATTTAGATTTTAAATCATATTCAAAAAATTTATTTTGGGATTTGTCGCTGTATACAAATAATTGTTAATAATTTATTAAGTAAATAATTCTTAACGTTGATTGCAACAGTCGTAAGTTCTTAAGCTTTTATTGAAAAATTCTTAACTACTCCAGAATTTTTAGATCTATGAGTATAGTTTTTATATATAAATATAATGAATTGATGGATAATGGAGTTTTTAAAACGTATGGTAAGAATGAGCTCTACTAAAGTGACATAAATTTATCCTAGTTTGATAAATTACCTTCTGATGACTGTTTAGGGTTCTAGATAGCCATCTTTGATGGTAACTTGTGTAAAACCTACTAAAATCCGATTATCGATAGCTAAAAACTTACCATAAGAGCTATTAATATATTATTCTTAATGGTAATTTAACAAAAAATTCTACTTATTCTACAAATTGCGAACAATTTCAACTGTACCCTGATAGCCATCTCATACTATAACTTTCAGATAACCTGGTGCCGCAAATTATAGATAACTTGTCGAAAAGTAGGTTGGCAATAAGTATTAATCTACAAGTTATATTTAAGTTATGGTCAACTTTACTTCAAAAAATTGTATTGAAACAATTGCCATTAAGTTGCCGAAATTTTCTATTCAAGTTTACTATAAGCTTATAAGATAACTTGTTTTTAAATATCGGCACTATCTTATTGTCAACTTGCATATAAGGATAGGTATCTGTAGACTTGACGTCATTTTTGATTTTTTCAAATTTCTAAACTAGAATGCCCCCTTAAGGTAGTTGTCGTGATTAAGGCATACCGTCAGAAAATTCTAAATTTTTATATATTTATCAAGGACGTGATACAATTACCCTTAAAATTTGAAGTCGATTGACCACTTTCAACCGGAGATGAATTCAATTAAAAATTGGATATTGAACATTGATTGCATACGCTCTCTGCATTTATATACCAGTTTCTTAGTTATAAGAAAAAACTAATTGTCACAAACTTTCAAAAAACTAACAATCTTTTAATGGATTTGGTGTGAGGTTAAAAAAAAATAGAAAAAAATTTTTGACCGTCTAATTATTTATAAATAACCGATTAAAGTTCAACAATTTATAAAAAAGCATATATCTACGGAGTTGGACAGAAACAATTGTATGGGTTGCGTCTCCACGGTTACAGTAGCGTAAAAATTATATATGGATTAATACTCAACTACAAGCTCATATACTTTTGTGGCGCATATAATCTCTAATTTTTTGACAATATTGTACCATGAAAACTGCCTTAAGTTAAAAAAACTCGCAGCAAACAGGCCGGTAAAAGAAAGTAATATTTAAAATCGTTAAATTTATACTTGGTATAATTTTTTTTTTAAATATCAGTAAATAGTTTTTCGTAGTCAATTTACGCAGTAGAGTTTGATGAAATGATAACATTTAAATGGCGTTTGATGTAATAGTCATTTTATTTTATATAATCGGGAATTTCTAAACGCCTGAAATAAGACTTGAAATAAAAATTAGTTAGTTTTTGCAGCTACCCTAATAGACATATTTAATATAAATTTTTTAATATTATTATCTCTAAAATTCTCTTAATTTGAGTAGAAAATTTTAACAAATAATTTCTTCTTAAGCTGAAACGCAAGATTTAACAAAATTTTCACGAAGGTTAGTCTCCTGAGCTTCTATTTCTCCTGAGTTCCGTATATGCAAATAGCAAATACCGATGTTTGGTTGTCCGTTTATTATTTTTCCACCCACAACAGCAACTTGATCTCGCTGAAGTTCAAGTCCGCACATTCCAAGTATAGGATTGGTTGTTAAAAGTTTAAGTTGAAGAGCGGATTTTGCTTCATCAGTAGCCTTAAAAAAAATTAAGTCATATTAAATTTTAAAAAGAACATTCGGCAGCCGAAACTATTAAAATAATTATTTCCAAAACGAATGCAAGAGTAAAATTCCATTTAATAGACAAAGAGAGTAATTAATTTTTGGCCTAAACTAATAGTTAGGTTTACAAATTGAAGTTTATTCAATAAGCTTTCAGATGCAATTTACAAAAATTTTAAATGATATGGCCTTTAATTGTTATTGCACGGAAATACGGTAATAGTGAAAATTTTTGAGATTTAAAAAAATTTTTAAATTGCTGTTATTCGTAAACTAATCCGCAGATTTAGCTCATCTTAGAACTTAACGTCAGAAATTGTCCAAAAAATGAGTATGTTACATTTAATTAAAATGCGTTCAGAATTGAGGGAGTTGTAGAAGAGACAAAGCCGGTAATATCGTATATATACATAAACTTTTTAACCATATATGTATATTTTCTGAATTCGCTTGACGAACTGATTCGATATAAGACAAATGACCCAGTTATTGACACTGACCTAGTTGTTTGACATTTGCAATTTTTTTCTAATTAAAAAAATAAAATGCTATCAAAAAACCAATTATCTTAAAATTTATAATTCAAAATTATATTCATTAATTTATTAGAGCTGACTTTTTTTTTTAAAGTAAAATAAAATTGCAAGTGCACGGAAAAAAGTAAACTCTAATAAATAATAGTCGATTTATAAGAAGTAATGATCAACTGCTAAAAATTACCATTTCAATCAGTAAAATCGTAATTTTACTATTCACTTTATAATATTTACCATTTAAACGTTAAAATTTACTCTTTACATCGAAGAAAATACTATTTCAAACAGTAATATTTGCTATGTGAATGTCTAAAATGTTAAAGTACAATAATTAAGAATTCAGACTTTGATATTTATAATTTCGTACCTAAAAATGATCTTATGATATGTAAAAAGTATAAAATAAAGTTACTAAATATCTAATACAAGCAACGTTAATATTTACAAAGTAAAATGGTAAATTTTAAACGCAACGCTAAAAATGAAACTATAATTATCGACTAGCTTGGACGTAAAATGTATATTTTAAAAGTATAATTTTTACTGTTTCAAATGTTAAATTCTCCCAGAGTGAGACCCCCTTCTCTTTCATCTGAGTTCCCTTTCTCTTCATAATATGGATTATATATTGAAATGGCAATTTTTACTGTTTGAAACTGTAATTTTTTAAGATGAAAGAGTCGTTATTTACTTTAGTAACATCTACTAATCACTTATTTTGGATATTAAATTATAAATTGTGGCTTTTATACTTTCTACATTAAGTTCTGTAATATCTATATTTTTGCCACCCCGATGTCCGCTTTACTGTTTGAAACTATAAAAATTAACCGGAATCCGAATGAATATTACGGTTTACTTTTTTCCGGGTGTTAATAACTGGGTCTTCTACGTTGTAGCAAAATTTTTCAAAAGTTTCCTCATGAGGACCAATACATTAATTAGATTTTTATGAAATTAAAAAAATAAAATTTAATTAAAAAAATAAAATTTTCAATTACCTTGTAAGTTTCTAATATATTCACTTGATATATTAAAATCGATGACTGATTCATTTTCGCAACATCCTCAACCTTAACTTTAATTACTGTGGAAATGAAATGTCTATTTTATTTCGCACTTTTTTTTTTCTTTATACACAACATTCGATTAAATTACTTGATAAATAAATAAATATATATATTGTAGATTATTACCAAAGTCAGAGTGACAAAATTGTTCTTGTAGAGAGAACCCTACGCAGCTGCACGCATTCGCTTCGTAAACTGCCACAAAATTTAGTATGAACAACAACAAAAAACGATTCATCTAAAAAATTTTACAAAATTTATTTAAATAAAAGAATAAAATTACAATTAGAGTTAAAGGATTAATAAATTATAATACTTTTTATGTTTACGAGAACCCGATTAAAATTTCTTGGAGTAAAATAATTTTGGTTGAGAGTTAATGAATTCACTTAACGTTATGATAAATCACTCTGAGATTCCTTTTTTGTAAGCTTGTGTAATAGTTATATAAAACAGTGATATTAATTTTTATCTTAAACTTATGTTTAGAAAAAAGGTCAAAGATTAAAATTTATTTTATAAAAATAATTCTAGTCATTAATATAGCATACAAAATAAATATTTATTCTTTGAATGAAAACAATTTTTTTGAGGTTCAATCCCGAGTCGTCTATCTTTTGTTTCATTAATCCTCAAGCTTTAGTAAATCTTCATTATATAGTTTCTTTATAATTTAAAGTTTCATACCTGTATTTATAGTAACATAAATGATTATTAAAATTTGTTAGTTAATTCATTATAAATTAAAATTTTTTATACTTATATAGTATTATATGTCACTATCATTTATCTAAAAATATTATTTTATAAAACATTCTAAATATTTATAAGTTAAACTGCACAATAATGTAAAAACTGTATGTATATGTACTCTTTGCCATTTGGCAATTGCCTTGGCATAATTTTTAAATAAACTAAACTAAACTAAACTAAACTAAATTTTATACTGTTTTTGATCTACAATTTTCATTCTAAATGTTCGAAGGCCAAAAGTCGCCTAAGATGGTGACTTATAATTTTTTTGGACTTAAAAGTATCTCATTATAAATTATAAGTCGCATTTATTTAAAAAAATGAATTAATTTATAATATATTCATGCGCTTTCTTGTTTTATGAACTGAACGTCGATTATAATCTTACATCTGTTATATTTATTTGTCATAGCTCAACATTTCGTGGATTATGAAAGTTTTGTAACTGCGAATATATTAGTTGCAGTGATAACTAATAAATTTGTATTAATATACGTTTATAAAATAGTTCTCATCGTTTAATTATGGATCTAAATCCATAGTTTTCTAATTATCGTTATTAAACACAATGTGAATACATCGAGATAAGATTAAAATGTTGACAAGATTAATGTTAAATTTTATACTTTCACGCATCATTCAATGAGCGGTATCCACTATTTGGTAGTGCGAAGAGTACCGTTTTGGTATACATTGCACTACGAAATAGTGAATTGTCACTATTTCAGTTTCAGAGAATGAAAAGCCGTGCCCTGTAGAGGATCTTCGAGGACATGAATAAAATAATAATAAATAAATATATTATTATTATTATTATCAAATTCGTGAAAGGTCGGTTTTTGATCTACAGGCGATGAAAAACCGACTAAAAATTATATAACGTTTTGGTCTGTTTTTGACCTTGATGCGGTCAAAACCAGCTAAATGATTGTGACGAAAAAAGTCTGATTTTGGTCTTGAAACAATAGAAAACAATTTTATTATAACATTAAAAATGATCTGAAATTGGTCTGAATTGTGAATAATACGGGCAAAAACAGATTAAATTCTCATATAAAATAGATACACATAATAAAATTAAATTAAATGAAAAATATTAAAAATTTTTATTAATCATAAAACAGACTAAATTTTTTGACCCGGGATAATTAAATTAACTTCAATTTTTTTCAATATCCCCCAGGACATTGAAATCGATAAATGCAACGTTCAGGTCGTGATGGATCTACAACAAATCCTTTCTTACATTGACAAACGCAACTTAAAGTGAAACATTCCTGTAAAATAATTCAATTAATTAATTGCTTAATTAGAATAAAAAAATAAATATTTTTCTACAAAAGAAAAAAAAAAAGGCTATTTCGGAATAATTACAATTTTCTCATAAGGACAACGCTTCCCGCATTTTGGTGAAATGGTACAACCGGGTTCCGCTCCTTTTGGACAAGTTAGATTTTGCGAAGCATCTAAAAAAAAATTTTTTTTTCATTGCTCTTATTATTTCATGGATAATTTTAAATGCTTGTGTTACGTTCCCAAAAATAGGGTATATTAATTAAAATTATTTAAGTCCAGATTTTGACCTCATTAGGATGTCAATAGACTCCAGGTGGGTCGTGTCAATGATTTATCCACGAAGTACTTTTAAACGATATAAATTTATAAATTTTAAAATATAACTTTAAAATAACCTGCTTTAGGTAGGTGATTTGGAATGCCAAAACGCTGACTAGCGCTTCGGCGATTTCACCAGGGTGGAAAACAGCTAATAAAAGCGCTTACACCCTGGGGGATAAGGTTTTAATAACTATTCATATTAATTGATTAACAACTAATAAGATTTATTCAAAAAGGATAAGGCAGGTTCAGCCTCGGACCAGCAGAGATTGCTCCTCGGCTAAGTCCGAGGACTGACTGCTCCAGAAGAAGTCTGAAGACAGAATGTATCGTTAAATAATAATTACAAAGAGTTTATATAATAAGATTTTAGCGACGTTGCATCTCAGGTTACCCTATGAGAACATCAACGCAGTCCAAAACCCACAACGTAGACTGTTTAGTCTACTGGGCTGCGTTGACGTTCTAGAAATTTGTTATCTCGAGGTATTTCCGTTACGAGATACCTCGAGTAACGATTAATTAATTAAAATAATGATTTATAAATTTTTAAAATAAATTTATAAAATTTTTAATAAATTTAAAATTTACGAGAACGTAACACTTACTTGTTTGAACAAATGAAATGACCGTTAGTAGAAGAATTATTTTAAAATTCATTTTGTATATATTAAAATATATTTAACAATATTTCGAATGTTTGCTCGTTTATATACTGCTTATTAACAAAAATTATGCTTCTTATATATGAAAATCTGTATTTTTTCAATATCAAATGACTCAATGTTTACTTATCGATTTAATATCAGTCTGTAAGATTGCAATAGTTTTTTTAATTGAATGTAATATTAGTATAATTTATAAATTCATTGTAAACATTGCACATAACATTAAACATTGCTTAATATGAAATGAATTAAATAAATATATTGTTTTAAAACGTTTTATTTCATTACACGATAACAAATTCAACATAAAAATTTTTAATACAAAATTTTTGGTGGAAAATTTTATACTTTGTAAATTATACTGCTTTTACAGCTTAATAAAATTTAAAAGTTCATCCTTAACAAATTGCATTTCTGCGAATTCTGAAATTATTTTTCTAATACTATTCACTGCCAGTAGAGCACGAATTATTCTGAAGTATGCTGTACACAACATTATATCGCTTGAATTGTGTCAAACACTGTGCAAAACAATTTAAATACATCAGAACCCTCCATTATTGTTCCAATGTTTACTTTTGAAAATAGCATAAAAAAACATTCAAAAAAAGTTTGGAAAATCCAAAAGTGCACGACTCATAATGCTCATTTAATTATGAAATATTAAAAAAATTATTTCACAAGTTACAGTGTTTCCGGAGTTTCATACATGACGGACAGGAAAATTTTTTGACTTATTTTGATGTTTTTTTTTTAATTTTAAAAAATTTATTTTAAACTGCAATTTTTATAGTTTAAAATTTGAACTGACATTTATTACGATTTATAATATAATTTTTCCAATTTTTTTTTTTTTCGTAGAACAAATCTATAAGTATATTACTAAATAGTATAATTTTTAATCAGTTAATTAAGATAGTAAATGAATTTATGAAAATTTGTAAAAATCACTGCAATGGCTTGATAATGGACCAATAAAAAAACGCAATTGTAAATAATAATAAGAAAAACTTGAGTAATTTGATTTCTGTTCATGGAAATAATATTGCTATGTAAAAATATATGATAACAATTCAAGTTAAAAATGACAATAAGAAATTTGATTTTTCGGCCACAGTTATCGCGTTCGCGCTCAAGGCATGCAAAAAAAAGAACTTTTTAAAATTGAAATATAATAATAAGGTATGTTGAAATACAACCAGAAATCTGAAAAATTAATAGAAAATTAAGAATCAATCCAAAAAAAGAATATTAAAGTAACTGTCAGAAAAATTCCATTAACTTACAAGCATAAGGAGCGTGCGGTCTAATGATACTATATCACAACTTGTGATTTTTATTTTCAAACTTAGAAGGTCACTCGAAAATTTATTCCACTGTTGTAAGAAAAAACAACATCAATAAAAATATATTTGTCTTTTGCATCACCCTAATATCAATTAATAATAAACTTAATCCTACTTACTTTGGCTTTAGTTCTCTGATTCGTACATTTGTCCACAACCAGAAGAATGATTCGAGCTGTTTTCTCATTCTGAAAAAATGTGAAATTCAATTAAAACATTGCCAACATAAAAACTGTCTTATGTACCTGAATAATTATTTTATTGACAGTAGAAGTCAGTATAATCAGGAGAAAACTATGCTGAAGTACAAATAGTCCATAATAGAACATTGCGATACCACCTTTCAGCCCGCCCATTATTTCAGATATCATAAAGTATACCATGAAAATAGCTTTTACAACAATTGCTAAAATCGAAAATAAAATCGGTAGTCCGTAAAAATTTTCTACTTTTTGACATATTTTAAACAATGCGTAGTATGTAGATTTTAGATTATCAATGTTATTCATAGCTGTTTGATGCGAAACTAACACTTCTGGTCCAAGCATATTCCTTTTCACTTTTTTGAAGTTCAATATTCTTGATTGAATGACTTTGAATCGTTTATTAATCATGATTAGTATCAATGAGTACTGTAAAATCACTCCAAAAACAGTCATGCTATGCACATAGCGAATAAGTACTGATGTTAATGTCGGGAACTGTAGGATCAACAAAATATGGATGGCCGTGAAGATAAAAAGATTCACAAAAAATAGTATGTAATGAACACTATATTTCATTTCATGCTCTCTAACGTTAAGTCTTTTGTCTAAATCCATAAAACGATTAAATACTCTCACTAAAATTTTTTG